TCGGAAATTTCGCACAGCGTCCCATAATCACAATTTCCGGCTGGAAGCTTGATTGTTGCAAATCCATGAGATTTTGGACCAATAGGATTGTAGTATGATGTAAAGACACGCAATCTTAAGTTTACGCTGATCAGAATAATCTGACCAGCTGAGCTCAAATGATTGACGTGGCTGGTCACTGCCATGCCATTGGCTAGTGACCACCACGTCACAAGTTCACTGTCACGCGGTCAAACGGATCATTCGCTACGTGCGGTCGACGAAATCAATGCCCTTGTCTATTGCTGAAATAAACAAGCGCCTTCTATACAAGTCTACATAGACTCAGACTGGGCAAGCAACATCCTCAACATGCGCTTGTTTTCGGGTGTTCTGGACTTTGTCCGTGATTGGGATGAAAACGACAAACTGTAATCGCCAAGACGTCGGCTTCTGCTGAGTGCATTGCATGCGTGATGGATGTTAAACTAATTAGCTCGGTCAAGATATTTCTGGCAGTCATCACGCTCACACGAAATTCCCGTACTAATTGACAACCATTTGACGAACCATCGGATTTTAAACTGCAAGTCTTCAGAAGATTAAATTACTGTCGACGTCATGGTCCACTCGATTAAGGATGCCCACAGAAGCGGACTATTATCGCATGAGTATTGCCCAACAACAACGATACTTGATGACGAACTGTCGAAAGCCTTACGCAAAAGCCAATTTCTAGAACATAGAGCTGTAGTTATTCTCACCACGATTCCAATGACCACCTAGTTGCGCTAATGCTACAGGCGGTAGCACTGTATCCAACTTGGTACGCAGCTAGGTTACACCATTGGTGATGCTTGATCACAGCTGAGCTAGTACTTCATTACCGTCAATACCCCTTCCCGATTTTTCTCATTCGCCACAAATAGGTCAAAACTTCAGAAGATGTAATTAAATATAAAGTTATCAGCATGCTGCTGGCACTTTTGCTGCAACAGTGAGTCCTGCTGCAAGTGCGCTATCTGCGGCAAAGACATCAATCCGACAAGCGGTAGCGTGGGGCATGGACAATGGTGGAAGATGTCCTACATTTTGTGATGCCCTCGCCTTACGGCACTATCGACAACCTCTTTAGACCACGTGCGTGCGTTAGATATTAGCGGTATCCTCACGGGCAAGCATTTCATCTTTTCAATCGAGCCCTATAATAAACAAACATGAACTATCTTTGATATATATTTATGAACCCAAATTTACAACGTCAAGGTTCACTTCTTCTGCAGTAGAGCTGCCAGTATTTTTATCATTTTCGTGGCGTTGACGTTCTTCAGCACGAACGAGAATTAAACGTTGCTCGAAGCGACGCCTTCTTCCGTTCTTTTCGTCTTCACGCTGTGCTCTCATTTCGGCCAAATTTCGCGTCGCCTTCTCTCGTTGCAGCCACTCTTCCTCACGTCAGGCAGCGTTGCCACCCTCTCGGACTCTTTCTCTGTCTCTATCCCTCTCTTCTATCTCTCTCGCCTCTCCGGTGGTCCTCCCTTCTCTGTCTGCTTTATCAGCAAGATGGCGCTCGTCGCGTTCTTCACGGCGGCGTCTGTCTATAACTTCAACTCGTTGCGCTGTGGCTTCGCTGAACAACATCATTAGCTGCATTATCGCCTTGTTAGCGCCGGCTTTGTGCTTGTCCTGTTCAGTCTCAAGATTTGCTATTCGCTTCCTGGTATTGAAACACTTCGTAGTAGCGCAAGTAGCTGCGCCGGAACTCTCCGTCAGCTTTTTATTTTATTTTCGGTGTGGTGGTACGACCTCCCATCTGCTCACAACTATGTCACAGAATGCGTAGAACCCATCTACCAAGGCGAATGATCGACGGGGCGAGCGTTTTGTTCCTCGCCAACTTCGGCGTCGGCTAAAATTCTCTGTGTATTCCTCCTGTACAGCACCGATTCATTCAGTGATGACACGGTCTGAAAGGGCGCCCGAGATAGGACCCGGGGGTCGTCCTGCAGATCTAGCCTGGAAGGAGGTTGAGCTGCAGTTGGGACATCGGTCGTGGTCGTCTGCACAGACACTTCTCCGGCTTTGTTTTATTTGGCTGGTATTTGGGTATCGGGTGCTCTTGAGACTACTGGTGGCAGATTGTTTTTTATCAGACGATACTGGAGCTAATCTAGGTTCTACATGTTTCGTCCGAAAGGCTTCACTCGATTGATGACCGTACAGAGCAGAGTTTGTTCAGAAATAGAGAAGGTTGTATAGCCACTTCTACTGCCATGCTACTAATTAAAACGAGAAAAGAATAAAGATGACTGACCGAGTTTGTTTCTGCAAAACACACGCCGCCCCCCCCCCCGACATGCTGCTCTTGGATCTTGTTAGCTTGACGGCGAGATGAAAACTGGGTATTTCCGAAATCTAAAAAACATTTTGTTTTAGCAAAAATGGAGCGAGGGTCGAATTACTTTTTAAGTTTGAACTTAGATATAAATGAACATAGGTATACACATACACCAATTCAACCAAGGTGTGCTTGGAGGCGCTAAGCTAAGGAATCTAGGTTTTCCATGTGATTCAGTAAGTATCCCGGAGGTGTCCAATTCTCGGGCAGGTGCTGATTGTCTCGGTGTGGACCCCCACCCCCACGAGCCACAACGACGAACAAGCCACAGTCTGTTGCCGCAGGAGCCTGTCACCACTTGTCCCGGGAGATGTCCGTATTTGTGACAGCCACCGCCGGTCTACACTTCGCGAAACCACGTAAGCGGATTACAAGAGTGATTCGTCAGCCGAATGAGTCCCCAAATTCGACGGCATCAAGTCCCGTGTCCGTGTCTCGAGTAGTCTTCGTGTTCAAGTCCTGTCGTGTAGAGCGACAGGTCTTGCGCGGGAGTCCAAGGTGCTTTAATTGTCCAAACTATTGTTCAGCTAACACACCAGCCGAAATGGCGTGAGCTGCAATCAGTTATCGCATTTCGGTACGCGTGTCTCGGCGGTTTGACAAATAGGGACCTATCTGTAGATTGTTGCCACCGAACACCGTAAGCGAGCTGGTCGTCGTATGCAGAGCCTATAACACGTAGTATTTATACACGCTACGGCGTCACACCGCGAGTGCAACCCGGTCATTCCGTGAATTCCAGTACTAACTTGGGAAAACTTGTTCTGACGAAGGTTGAACTTCTTGAAAAGCGTACCGTTTCAATAATAGGGCAAAGGGAATAAGTTCTTGGTCCAGTGCGACCAATTCAAAAATTAGGATTCGCTAGGAGCGATGGCAACTTCGCGCGCCATTTGCCGCCCTTGACCTTGAAGATAGGTGATGCGGGTGATGTGTCTACATGGGAGTGCGAACGTGGCATTAGACCGGTTGTTCGCTGGGACCAATTACTGTGAGAGCTGCAAGACCAGCAATGCGCCAGGTGCATTTTTTAGGGGAGATTGTCCGAATTTGGTGACAGCAACAGCACCGGCGGACAGAACAGGAAGATAGCGAGATCGTCGGAACTCACGTCGAGCAACCCATAACTCACCTGCTGATGAAAGGGGCGTGAACAGCATTCAGCGGCGTCAAAGTGCCCGCACAGCCCGTGCTAGCACTACTGCTGACTCCGGTGCTTTAGCGGCCCTTCATACTACAAATCTGACACTTCCGCACACAAGTAGAGCATGTCAAAGGCAAGCATCGTCGTGACCGTAGTCAGCTTGAAGGTGACTCGAAAGCCTTAGGTTTTGTATGCAAGGTGTCGCTCCTAGAGCGGGGTCCTAGGAAGAAACAAGAAACAGTAGGGCTTAAAAATCAAGCAAACATAAAGCATTTTCCATCAAGAACCTTTAAAAAAAAACAAATTCCATCAAGAACCTTTAGCCTCACCTAAACGTCCAACCGTCGCAAGTCAAACCGTCGACTCTACCAAAGTCGTCAGCTTGCGGGGTGCGCTTGTCAATCGGTTCCCTATCGAAATAATTTCTCCACGACAAAGCTCGCGACGTTTCATTGTAGCCTTACCGCGGTCCCGCAAAGTGTTTATCTACCCAATTCTTAAGCTTCAAATGACAAGGTTAATACTCGTCGCCCGTCGCAATAACTAGTTTTGATTGTCCCTATAGACAGGACGCAAACGTATACAAAGCCGCGTTTTAGACGGATTCGCTCTAAATTAAAAACTGTGTGTGCAGCGGTTGCTTCCTCATTGACGCTACAGTAATGTGCGGCAGTAAGTAGCCTCCGAAATGAACTGAGAATAGAGGACTTAAAGTGCCAGAATATACCAGAGAAGTGTAGTTTTTGGTAATCCGGATTACCCAAATCGATTTCCGGGTATTTTGTAACGCTCCTTTCCTTTACACCAGTGGGGTCTATTGGAGCAGCGCTGTGTAACCCTTTATTAGCACCATAACCTTGGATAGTACATTACATTATTCTCAAAGTGCCAGAAAAGTGTACGTTATGTATTAGCTTTACAAGGAAGCGTCCCTTAATTCACGCACATTACCTGCATACTAAGTACCGTCGGATGTTTGAGTAAATACGCGATCACACTGTGCGAGTGCACTGCGATCACAAGAAGGATATTAACGGCATGGTATGTCGTAGGCATCAGATGCTGATTCTGCAGACAGGACGGAGATTACACTGAACCCCGGGTCTAATAGAGACCTTGTTGTCCACAAGGTCCTTGTTGTCCACAAGGTCTCTATTAGACCCCTTTTAGAAGACTTAATGTTTGCCTTTTAGAAGACTTGAATACTGTACTATACATACGTTTGCTCATAGAAAACATACAAATACTTCATGTCTGACATGTAAAAATGAATGTATGATTGTAATGCGAGAAAAAAGTTGCTCTAACGATCCTTACTCAAAGGATGTGCATGTAAACATGGATTACGTCCTGCACGGCCTCGCCGTAATACCCAACAGCAATCCAATATCGCCACCTTTGCTATTCCGTGAGCCTCATTTTCCAACTTCCCGTGATCTACAATAGCAACCCGATCCCAGCTTCTCAACTCAACCAACCATGCTACATTTGTTTTGTTCTGCTGTGACCCTATCGATCGGCGCTGCTATTGTGCTCGCTGCTTCAATCCCCGACGGCACTTGGCCAGCTAGCCAAGGCCGTGTCAGCTTTGCTGAAGTCTACGTTGTCGAATCGGGCCAAGTTTTCGACGGCGGCATGAAGACGTACGACCGTTCTGACATCACCTGCCTCGAACAGACCGAAAGCAACGTGTCTACCGCTGTCTTCGAGGTCAAACCCGGAGCCACGCTCAGGAATGTCATCATTGGAAAGAACCAAATGGAGGGTGTCCACTGCGACATGTCAGACTGCACGTGTGGTGGGAAGATGTGTGCGAGGATGCCCTGAGTATCAAAGGTGGGAACGCCTCCAGTGTCTCGAGAGTCATCGGTGGCGGTGCTCGCTATGCGGATGACAAGGTGATCCAGCACAACGGATATGGCACTGTTGTCGTCGATGGCTTCTTCGCTCAGGACTTCGGCAAGCTTTACCGCTCGTGCGGAAACTGCAAGAGCAATCCTGCCCAGCGTTTCCTCGTCATGAGCAACATCTATGCTGATCTCAATGTTATTCAGACTAAACGTTCTGGTAAGAACACGAGCATTGTCATGATGAACGGAAATTTTGGAGACCATGCTGTGCTTCGCAACATTCATGTGAAGCCCAATCCTTTGGGCAATTTCACGGAGTGTGCCTCTTCTCGTGTAGTCAACATAAGCGGAGCGAAGCCGTTGGTGCTCAGCAACGGTCCCAACATCCCGGTGTGCGTGTACTCCAATGAGGACGTACATATCATCCAAACGCATGAGCAACAGAAGAAGCTGTGTGCGTATTAAACGGGACTTTTGCAGTTGGCCATCTATTGCTAAGATGGTGCAATGACGATCATGAAAAACACAATAGATCTTTATTTGGAGTGGGTTGCGTGCTACACACTTCGAACTTGTAGTGTCGTTGCAATATCGAGAAAAAGACAAATAAAACATTAGTGCAATCTGAAGCGGCCTTTATTGAAATTCTCTGCGGGACGAGTCACCTACTCCGTATACATTTTGCTTTTTTTAGTATTAAAATTTTGAGCTAGAAGAAATCCATCCATTACCATGGCTCTTTTGTACGAGCTCCACGAAGAGCGTTAGCTTGTCCACTCTGCACGAAAGCCCCTCAGAACTTCGACACTCGGTTTTCATGTAAAGAATTGCTATCAGCTCAGCGACTTTCTCGTGAATAGAAACTGAACTCCGCACGTGATAGAAATGGAACGATATTACTTTCGAGTGCATTTTTTAGGAAATCGAGTGCACCATTAGGTTTTTGTTCGAAAGGTGTGAAACCGAGTGTCCCTGGTTCAACTTGAGGGAATGACCGAGTGCACTGCTGAGGTTAAGGCTTGAGCACGGAAGAAGATGCGTCAAGGCTCTGCCTTCATTAGTTCAGACGTAGCTAATGTAAGCTACATGTTGCAGCAACGATAAGCAGGCGTTCGTCTACAAAGCGATCCACGAGCTAGGGCTAGTGTGCTTCCATCGCCAACTTCGCTCGCCAGCTACGCCAGTCCACAGTGTAAGAGTTCCTTTCGTTCAAGCGCTTCTCCGTCAACACGATAAGAGCAAATTCAACGCTCGCCGTACTTCACACGAATCGCTTCCCCGCAGTGTCGACCATGATGCCGACGACGATCAGGACTTGGACAGCTAAGACGATCAGGAGTGACAGTTGGCATTGAGCATGTGAGCGTAGGACTGGACTAGTTGAGCTCAGCGTACCTTGTGTAGGAAGTGAACCAGGATCCAAGGCTCATTCATGTTTTCTTCTCACAAATACATGTATTTTTCTCCTCTTACATCCTGGTGAGCTCTGCATCCGGCCCCAAGGACAGTGTAGTAAATTCAAACAAGCATGGACCGGACAAGACAAGTATAGAGCCGACGATATCGCCATGTGTTATCTGCACTCGGCATTCCGCCATGTCGTGGCAAAAATGTCTGCACTCGAAAACCCCACAACGTGCACTCGAATACCATCCGCGCCCGATAGAAATGTGCGTGCTCGCGCGGCTTTTTACTCTTAAACATGTCATCGATTGTTTCCTCCGACTCTTGTCTTGTTTTCGATAGAAAATCTCCGAAAACGACTCCATCACGACCACGTGCACGACATTTTCCCTTGGGATATGATGAATAATGCTCTCCATGTCGTCCAGTGTCAGCTGAGATTGACCTGTAAAGAGCTTGACGGTCATCTTTGAAAATAGCAGCCGGATGGTTTTCGGTTCTGTTTTCGCTATATTACCATCGTTTCCAGATTTAGCGATGACTGTACGAGATAATCAGGCCAATGTTGTCCAGGTGGAGCTAGAAATGGGACGGTAACAGAGTTTCCCGAAAGATTAATTGGGAATTCAAGTCTGGAATCTGGTGATGATGGATATCCAAGCTCGAAAAACAACGCAGACAAGAAGCTCAAAAAGCGGCTTCCAAGAGAAGCCATTCCGATGACTTGCCACAACAATTGCGCCAACCAACAGGTGTTCCAGTCGGGTATTCCCTTTTGCATGTAGGGCTGTGGAGAGCTCGACATCGGGGTTCTTTTCGGCATCTTTAAACGCTAAAATGAATGGAATAGGCATTGAGTTGAGGTCTCGAAAGGCAGCAAAAGGTTTTCCACAAGGTGCGTCGGACAGTCCTCGCTTGGGTACTCGGTTAGGACACCTCCATGGTTTAATTTCAGCTCTTCCAGCTCCCCGTTTACTTGGATGAACCCCCCCCTCCCTAAACAAGAGCTCGAAAGGTGTCGATTCACGAAGACGAAAGAAATGGTCACTAATCAGGAGATTTATCTCAGCGTTTTTTATTATGCTCACAAGACACTCGGTCGTCGTAACTTTCACCAAGAAAGAGACACAGTTGACCAAGTCGGAAGAATTCTGATTCATAGCATTGATTCCTAATAGATACTTCTGCTAGATACTCAGCCATTTCATCCATAAGCTCCACAGATTCCTTGTCGATCGGATGAGTCAAGGAGTATTTCAACGCCAGTTGAGCAAACGCTGGTCGACTATTTCGAATATTTTCCTGCAGCTCAATCGACAGTGAAGCTATCGATTGGCTCGGAAAAGAAGGTAGCGAAGGTCGAATAGTACACCAATAACTCGCACACTGTTGCTGACATCTACCAATATCATTTGTCGCGAGGTACCTCGCTGCAGCCTTTGTGGTGCTTATAATGACAGCTATGCCAAAAGCTCGGAACACGTTCAGCATGTACCGAAGCGCAATGTCGCTAGTTCTGGGTCGTGAATTGCCTACTCGTGGAAACCCATCAAGACTTCAACGGGTTTCGGACGCTCTGTCGTTCGCGGATTGACAAAAAACGACCTTCCACTTAATAAACCGCAAATGTGTGCAGCAATATCACCTGCGGCCGAATCCAGAAGATTATGGCATCATCCACGTGTGGTAAATCTTTCTCCACACATTAAAAAAGGACTCGGATCGAAGCGAAAATACTTTTTGAACATCTCCATGGCAAATATAAAACACCTCGACATCCTTTCGAGCCATCAGATTAAACGCCATCTGCGTCTTGCCAGTGCCCGAAGAGTTCTGCAGCACAACGAAAGGCGTTAAGTAAAGATTGGACGCACCAATGCAAGTAATATCTTTAATACTTTTCGCAATCTCATTTACACCCGGTGTCTCACTTAGCAAATCAGCAACATCACGGTACGGCTCTGTAATCTCAGATTCGTGTTTAAATGCTGCCTTCTTGACGAGACTCTGCAAGTCATCAACGTAACCCATCACATCGATGATCACTGGGAAATTGGGACTGTTTTTATCTGCAACGAGTTTGCACCAAAGAACGACAAATTCTGGCGATTCCACTTCTGTTTGGGTAAAAAAATACGCGTTTACGTTTCCCTTTAAAAGATGGAGGAAGATCAACTCTAACAAGCAGGTGCGCAATTCCACACTCCTCGCTGCCAAAGTACTTTGTAAGGCGGTGCAAAGTAGGCATGCTGTCGCGACAAAATCTATCTACAGTTGCTATACTCCGTTCGTCCTTGGCTTGATACAGACGCACCATCGTGAAGTCATCTCCAGCAAATAATGTGGGGTTTTCGACAACAAATTTATCCATGATAGACGACATATAGTCGCTAGGAACGAAAAGCACCGGTCTGGCATGTTCCCGCGCTCCAACCAATAGAACCATTACAGGTATCGTCGTCATCAGCTCGTCAAAATCTGAAGTGAACTCGGTTCTGACTAGAAGTAAGTGATTTATAGACTAATCGACATAGGTCCGAATTGATCCAAATAAGTAAAAAAATAGATCGATGAGCTGAAGTCACTTATTTCGGCATTCATGTGAACATAAGTCACTCTGAGTTTTACTTGTACTTAAGTGGAATCTTTTCAAGCCAAGTGTGCATTTTAATAACAGATTTGCGCATATCATCAGTCTTCACCTACTGTGGTGATACATACATTTGAGCAGGAATAGTCATAGTCTCCTCGCATAAATTGACGTAGATCGCGACCATATCGCTTTGCTGTGTTTTTCCGACAGCAAACTCGTATATCGAAATACGTTTGAACAGGGCTCCCGATTAAGTCATGGTCTTGTTAAATTTTCTTGTGAATTCATACATTTATTTGCAAAAGTACCAATCTACTATAAATCATGAAAAGATTTCTTCTTCATTATGCAAATCACAACATTTTTATTGAAAATTTACTCGCAAACACTAGTACCACGTTTCACTCTTCATTTCGGACAAAGTAGGCAAAAGGGTCTTATTTTAGGATGTGCTGTGCATTTATAAAAATTATGCTAAGTAGCTCCACATTATGCTTTTATTTACTGTTTGATCACTGTACATGCCATAATGTATATATTGGCACTAGCTGCCCAATGCCATTATTTATGGTTCCCGAAAAATAACAATGCCATAATCGGGAGCCCTGCGTATGAAGGAAGTACCTACGACTATGACAGGAACTCACTTTCCTCTTCGTGACCTTTTCACTTGAGCCAAAATGAATGAAGTAGTCGCACCGGAAAAAGTGGGGGATTATCTAAAGTAGTCTCGATCGCATACCCACTTATTGATAACACTCCGGGAGACGACTTAATAATTGTCGTAGCGTTTCTCCCGTAGGCTCGTAAGAAAGATGAACTGACAGAACTTTACCTTTCAGTCTTTTCTCCTTTCCATCCACAGCTTGTGCCAACTGGGTTTTCAGCACGTATATTTCTGAGAGCGCTTGCGAGGATGAGGAGACGAAATCTTCGATTTAGAGATGTGTAGCGAGTAGTGAATGGGAGGATTTTTTTTTTAACGCCGATAAAAGCTTTGCTACATTTCTCAAGTACAAATACAGGAAAGTATGAATAGCATTCGGTACAAGACACCATGGATTCTATTTGCATCGTCTCTGATCTTGGACTAAATTGAGCTCGTCCAATTTCGTCTTTGTTTATTAAGCTCGATAACACAGCACCAAGGTCTCGGTTCTCTTCAGTTGCGCATGGCACATTCCGCGTCTTCAAGTAGTGCACTAAGCTCCAGAGGTAGCTCGTCAACCAGCTCCACTGGGTTTAAGGTCTATGGCAGTCTATTCAAAGTGAGCTCCCGCTACCAGTTCCTCAACCCTCTTGGGAAAGGCTCGTACGGCGTCGTCTGGTACGCACTGATCCTTGTATCTTCAAGTAACGTCAGACTGATCTGATGACTGTGTAGCGCTGCAAAAGACCGCGATACAGGACAATGTGTAGCCATTAAGAAGGTGACTCCTATGGCAAAGCGTACAACCGACGCGAAGCACACACTCCGTGAAGTTTTACTATTGCAGCATCTCGGTAAACATCCAAACGTAAGAAAATGCTTGAAAAGACTATAATGCGAGTTAAATGCTCACAATCTCTCGGGCCGCTCCCAGGTTATCTCTGTTCACAATCTGTCGGCCAATATCAAGGACGATGAGCTGTATATCGTCATGGACCTCATGGACACGGACATGCATCGGGTGATCCAGAGCTCGCAGCCACTTTCCGATGCTCATGCCAAATATTTCCTTCACCAACTTTTACGTGGCGTCCAATATTTACACGAAAATGGAGTGTTACATCGCGACCTGAAGCCGGGAAATCTGCTACTGAGCAAGACGTGTCAGTTGAAAATCGCGGATTTCGGTCTCGCCCGTAAGATTCCTCGTGGTTTTAATGCTGCTACTACAACTCTGGAGCGTCCTCGCTCTGCCCCTGCTGCTAGCTCTAAAGCGAAAGTACCGGATCGAGCACCAATGACAGAACACGTGGTGACGCGCTGGTATCGAGCTCCAGAACTGATGCTACAACCCGACGGATTGTACGATCAGAGCGTCGATATGTGGTCTGTCGGGTGTATTTTCGCAGAGATTCTCGGCCGTAAAGCTCTATTTCCCGGCAAGAATTTCCTGCACCAACTCACGCTCATCTTCGATGTGATTGGAGCTCCATCTTCCGAGGACACGATGCAAATCCAGAGCTCACAAGCGCAAAGATTCTTGAAATCTATCAGTAAGAAACCCAAAATTCCATTCCGCACTCTCTTCCCGAAAGCTTCCGAGGCAGCGGTGGATTTACTGGATCGATTATTGGAGTTCGATCCGACTACAAGAATATCTGCGCAAGAGGCACTGGCTCATCCGTATATGCAAGATATCGAGCGCAAGTATCGGAATCGTGGAGGATCAGACCCTCCGCCTTGTATGCGGGCCGATTTCTCGTTCGATTTGAAAAAATTAAGCAAATTGGATCTCCGTGCTCTTATTGTCAAGGAAGTGGATAATCATCGCAAGTCGACTCTAACACGGACGAACTCTACGGGATCTTTTATTACTGACAGTGGGGAGAATAAGGAGCGGGAAGTGCAACCCGCAGTCGAGAAACCACGCGCTGTGTTGACTCCGAGTGTGATTCCTAGCGTTACTTCATCAACCAGTTCAAGCAGCTCGAGTGCTCGCATCAGTAAAATACACGCAACCTTACGCCAAGCACAACAGCAAAGTCAGGGCCAAGAGCTGCAACCCGCGAATGTTGTCACGTTCGGATCGAATCGTCAGCGGATCCGAACAACCAGTAAACCTCCAGTTCCCAAGCAGCAAGACGTGGATACCTGCGGGTCAAATCAACAAGAACACGTGCGTGTTATCCCAGCTCAAGCCACGTTTCTGTCCGATAGTTTAGCCTCAAAAGGTTCTCCGCCAGAGCAAGTAGAATCCAAGGCTGCAACTACCGGAAGTATAAAGGACGTGCCGACGCATAAGGCATATGCTCACACAAGTTTATCCGCTCGGGTGGCCCACACGAGCAAGCCAAGTCCGCTGGCAACGCTGGTGTACACTGGTGGCTCGGCTGTCGACTCGTCTGGATCCGATGCTCTTGCGACTTGTATGGCGTTAAATAGGCGTTCGAAGGCGTTAATTGCTACTTTAACGTTATCTTCCGGCGTTTCTGCACCTATTCAACACACTCAAGCTTGGCAAGCAAAGCAGAGGAGGAACCCCGAGCATTCCGCCTCTTCCTCGTCTAGTTCTGCGGCCTCCTCTCCACCTCGACACGACAGCTCAGTGTGCACGGCAATTTCACGTTCGAATCGACCAGGCTCCGCGTTTCTTACAAAGGTGATAAAGAAGAAGCCGGAGGGGACTGTGGCTGCTTGTATTGCGTTAAGAAGACCACGACGAGTGTCCTCGGCTGGCCCTACCCGATCAAAGCCTCGTGTTCTACCTGGAAATGGGTCTCGTACGGCCAGGAATGTAAATTCAACTAACACTTACGTTGGCTCGATCAACTCGCTTATTCGAGCTCAGAGATCAAACAACGGTCAGTCACTAGCGGATTCAGCTGACAACATGCTGGCTAATATGACGCCAAGTAAACAGCAGGAGCCTTTTGACTCGAGGGACGAAAACGAGTCAACTGTGTCTGGAACACGTCTGAAAACGCAGCGATCTACGTCAAAACTCCCTGGTGTGGACTTACTGGAAAAGAAAGGTTCAGCGAGGAAACTTACTGTGCCGAAAAGCCCCAAATTCTCGGTCATGTCTTGGCAAAAGAAGGGCGAAGGTAGAACAGGATATGCGTCTAGTATGATTCGCTAGCCCAACACGTATATATAAAGCTTTTCAGTCTCTAAACTATGCAATGGCTAGACACATACTTCTTTTGTCGTTGCAGGCCAAAAACAAATACACCTCTCAGAGTACTGCCACCGGTTGAGGCAAAGTTTGACAAAAAACAACCTTGCCCTCGGAGCCAAACTGAGAAAACAATGAAGATATTTTCCCACGGGTGATAATGGGGGGGGGGTCCTGGAGTTAAATTTGCCAACTGGATCCCCTCGCAGCGTATGGTAATGGTAAAAAGATAGCAATTACAAGGTTCGCACATTAGAATCAGTTCGAGATCAAGGCACATGAGCAAGCAAGCGATCTGTGGACTGCCACACCTTTTAATACCGTTGCATATCTGCTCAGTCATTCGCCCGCCAACAATGGACTGAGTAACTAAAGGCTTATCTTCCTCATCCTTCAATCCATCAACAAAGCTGTTTTTTTTTTTTTCTTTTTTCTAGGAACATGAACCCATGGCTAGGAATGTTACACATATCGACGGAAGATATGGCATATACAATGCTTAAGGCCTATTCCAATCTTCAGCAAATCATTTTTTCACAGTTCTATATTGAAAATATAGAACTGTATTTGACGAACCGGTTCGAAATCTGGCTGAAGCAAATATACGTTTTTAAATTGCTACCTGCCAATCGAGGCGATTTTCACTATTCAGTGTAGCAGACACGCAAGGAGTGTACGGGCGGTGATGTGTACGAGGCCGAACTCTCTCTCAACCAGTATGCTGTGTAAGCGACAAGGACCCCAGGTCCTTTCTACAGTTTAGTGTGACGTACCCCACACAGACGACCACCGGAATCCATCGCATGATCGGTTTTGGGCACCCTGATTTGGGTCTGATACTGCGGTATCCGAAGATTACCCTCTTCATAGACGGCACCTTTTCGGTTTCAAGTGAGGTCAACGCCATCAACCATAGCGTTACAGAATAAGCCATTTTAATCCAAACTGAAATATGCAGGATATCTAATGTTTGTTTATCGGGTCTACGCGAGTCGCTGGACGCAAGCTAACCGAAAGGTGCCGGTGTGGTGGTGTGTGTGTGTGTGCGTGAAGGGGGGGGGGGGGTAAGCGCTAATGGCATTTAAGCAATGGCATTCAAACACGGAATAATTTGCCCGGTTCCTCCTCACTAATCCGTCAGTTAGGAACTGGGCAAATTTTCCTCTACACATTGTTCAGACTGTATAAATGAAAGCCAATATGGTTGGCGCCAGCAGCTTCATCAGCCGTATCAAAAGCGGAGGGTGTTGATCTGATGGCGGTTTTGGGGAGAATCTAACGAGGGCCCTCATCCGGAGGGCCCTCGCAAAAAAAAGAGCAGTAAGAAAAACTACAGTTTACCGGTATCTGTACTTGTAAATACCAGTATAAATCGTTCCCGTTGCAGAGACCGTTCCCGTTGCAAATCGTCCCCGTCCCAACGACCGTTCCCGTTGCAAAAACAAAAACGTTTTACTTTCAGATTCTAAGCAAACCCATGAGCTCGGTCACCGGGCCCTTGCTGCCGAATGGATATCTGGCCGTGGGCCTCGTCCTACCGGATCGCGTTATACCTACACTACTAGCCGAAGCTAAGTCCCGTACGTACACTGGAGCTTTCAATCGTGTCGGAGGTGGCGACGACTCCTACCGCCAACAGTCTCGCGTGGATAGTGCTGCGTTGTCGCCAGCTCTCTTGGAGCTGCGTAAGGCGCTGGCTGTAGTCATTGGAATGCTGCACCCGGGTTGGAAGCCAGGCGTATTCTCGCTCATGCGCTCGAAGCCAGGCGGAACAGAGCAGGAGGCCCACCAGGACTACCAAGGCGACGACATAGCTCGTGCCCGCGCAGCCCATCCCGGCGGAGTTTCAGCAAGCATGGTGCTAGCTTTGCAGCCCAATACGAGGCTTCGAGTCTTCGACGGATGCTTCGCTGCCAGGGACGACAGCAAAGAGCGCATTGTGGAAATTCCCGTGGGATTTTGCCGAATCTTTAGAGGAGATCTCATTCACAGCGGTGTTGCTTTCATCAAAACTAACTACCGTGTACACTGCTATCTAAGCTACGACGACGTGCACTGGACACCTGATGTGGTCCAAAATGTTCTTCCGAGCCATAATGTGTGTGGTTTCTGCGGTGTCAAGATGCTAAAAGGGCCTGGGCTGCGCAAACATCGGTATTTGTGTGAGCAGAATCCCGATGGGGCTTCGAACCGGTTGAAGCGAAAGCGCGAGGGCAAGGAGGGTGTCTTCAAATGCGAGTTGTGCCCCAACGTCGACTAACCCGTGGCGAGTAGTTTGCGTTCGCACAAGAGCAGAGTCCACGGTAGCGGCCAGTAGGTGGAGTAAATCTCATTACATCGCATTTGAAGGTTCATATTGCAAATTTCCTTTTTTTTAATTATTGGAAGTTGAAGTAAAATTAAAAAGTTGAAGTTGCAAGAAAACATATATTTAGACGTATAGCGTCTGTCTGGTCTACTGCTTCTCGTTTGGCTGCTGGTCAGTAAAGGGGATACGGCCGGCAAAACCCCATGAGCGCGGTGGTAGGAAAGCGTCTTCGAAACTCAAAATTACGTCTCCTTCGTGGATGCCGAACTGTTGCATATCAATCGGGGGCAGACCTACCATTGTAGGTGGAGTAGCAGGATGACTCAAATCCATGCGCTCACTGAAAGTTGGCTCGCGTCCAGTTCCTCTTTTGCCTTGATTCTTTCGATGCTGGGCTTGTCGTTTTCCCTTTCGAATCGTGCGGATTGTAGCTGGTTCTTGAATTGGTATTTGTTTGTCTTGTAGGTACAGTCAGCTACCAGAACGTCGAAGTGAAACTTGAACAGCGCAGTAGTCGCTGGGTGGGCCCAAAAGAGATGAGTGACTTCGTTTGGCTCGAGGTTAAGGCGAAATTTGTAGAAGAACTTGTGCTTAACGAGTTCCTGAAACAGGGCCTCAGTTGCCGTTCTAGATGCCAAGTCGTGTCGACGGCTTGCATCCTTGGCGTTAGAAATGTCCTTGGCAACGATGAGAGAGCGTGGGTCTGCGCTTAGAGCTGTTGCATGAATCGTCGAAGGCGTGGCCCCGGCTGCTGTCTGAAGCTCAACCAAATCCAGAGTGTGTGAGGCCAGTGGTTGTGATGTTGCTTGGATGGCCCGACGCCTATGCTGCGCATGTACGCGAACATCCCGCGAAGGCTGATGGTTATGATGCGTGCTTCGAGCAGTATGAACAATCTTCCACTGGCCGGCAGTGTCATCTTTATCTACAGCCCTAATCCCTATCCGCATCGGGCAAGCCTAACGCTTCGATCCCCGTAGCGTACGCTTCCGATCATGCTCGGTCAGGTGTTGAGTGTTCTTAGGGGCCCCTGCACGGTCACACTCGTAGTTACGAGCCCAAATTTCGCGTTCGGGGCCACCCTTGTACCGAACACGTCGGCGAGAGACGTTGAAGCCCTAATCTAGCGTCCACTGGTGCAGCGCGGCTTCAGCGGCATCGTGAGAGCTGTAAGTGGTCTCTGGGGACGGCTGAATAGCGTGAAGGGGGAGGTTGTTGCCGCTCATGGCTAATCAAATTGTATTTGGTGACCTTTCGTTCATCTATAATCTTCGTCTACAGCTTACAGCCATTCGTCTACACGATAGTACCGGTTTATACCGGTAGGTACATCACAATCACACATGGACCTTTTGTGCGAGGGCCCTCCGGATGAGGGCCCTCGCTAGATTCTCCCGCGATTTTGGCTCCACGCTACTCATTTATCGGCCAATAGGCAGTCTCAAACACTACAGATGTAGGATAAATATCGTGTTCTATGTTCACATTCGCTGTGGCTTTGTTTATATTATGTCCGGTCCTTGGCCGCTTAGCGCGAAGGGCTTACATCAACATAATTCTAGCAGGTTTTGCAGTTTACTTCAACTAAGAAGTTTTCTTATTCTGTAGAGCACAGAATAAATCCCCGCTTTACAGGGGTTAAGCTGCGGTCTGTGAGAGCTAAAGTTTTCAGCCTGATAACCAGCAACTCTCAGCGAAGACAACACCATACTATATTATATGTCGATGGCTTTTTGGGATAATTGTGTTTAAAGACCATGCCACTTGCATGGAATCTCGTATACCAGAGAGGAGAGAAGCTCTACGTCCAGGTGGGTTATTGGGGCCTTTAGTAGAGCGCTGTCGCCGAGCTCCAATCGATCCAATGGCGTCTGCAGCGACGGCAGCTTGAGCTCGACGTTGAGCTGCAAATATATCCAATAGACTGGCGAACCCTGCGGTGTCTGCGAGCACGTCTAGAACTGTAAATACTGTAAGTTCGTCTGTCCAACCGGAGCTCCAGTCATCTGTAGCGTAAGGGTCAAACAGGAAGCCGATACGCAGCGGAATCGACACGAAGACGTAGAATAACTCCAACACGACCATCCCGATGAACCAGCTGCGCTTTCTTCGTCGAAAGAAGAAGAACATTCTTGCCAGGGGGCTTTTCCATTGTGTCTGCTGCCACACTTCACCCGCGGGTATGGAGGACACTGCTCGCTCTCTGACGGTCGACATCTTGGCCATATTGAGCTACGAGTTGACTATTGGGAACATTGCACGGAGGGGGGTTACCGTCTAAAAATGGGTGAAATGAAAATTTTACTTTAGCTTTTCTTTTCAAAAAAAGTGAAAGTTTGTTTTTAGCTTTTTGAGCTACCGGTTAGATGACCTATCTTCGGTTTGTGGAACCGGTAGCGTTAGCTTGAGTCGAACACACAAAATTTGTGTGCCATTTAATGCCACAGCCCTACCTTATTCCGTTATTGATTGCGACACCTTGACAGCAGCAACAGTGCCGCCAGCTACTACGCCGAGTCCGAGTAGAACTACGAGAGCTTTTGCCCACTTGGGCAGCGGCTCGTGATTCTCAACTGCATGAAGGATCTGGGACGACTGACCAGAAGGAGTGGAATGCAGAAGATTCGACATCGCAGCGAAGTTCGGCGCCATTCTTTCTTCTTCGTTCGGTTGCTGTCTTCGAAGATGGCGCCGGTTGTTGACATTGCCGACGCGATTCGTGATCGGAGAGGGAGTCACGTTGTCTGTCAGGGCTTCTGTGAAGCTCGTGCAACACCACAGGATCGAAGCGATGAAGACAATTATAAGTCGCATTCTGGACATGTGAAGCTTCGTGTAGAACGATTCTTTAAATGACGGCAAAGCACGGTGTTTACAGTAATTCTTGATTACGCATATGGATTAGTCACGGAACTAAGCACTAATTTTGAATCCACGAAAATTTAAAAGAAAAGTCCACGCCTTTAGGGAAATAAATAACTGTAAGTACTGTACAATCATACCGGTACACCAATGTTTAAATAAAAAGAGCAACGTACCAAAGTGAGCGACACGACAAGCCATAGTCACGAGCATCCAGATCATTAGTTTCCCTTGAACCAGAGGCATTTGTGTTTCCAAAACGAGCGCTAATTGATAGAGCACATTCATACCGCACTTGCGACTGCCAACACACTTGCAAAAGGCCAAAGAGAAACACTACAGTGGCGGTGTGATTAACATTCTGATGGGTCAAATTTCTCAACTCGGTGTGATATTCTGCGTTCGGAAAATTCACATATAGTTGCCGTAGAAAAGAGGAATAAAAGCCTCTAAGTAGGCCGAGAGAACCAAACACTCCAGTGTGTATAACACCTCCAGCGTCTCGTGAAGGATAGCGGAGTGCTGAGCATCACGACTGGCGCCTATTCCATGGCATCTCTCAATGTTTGCGGTTGGTAGAACTGCGCTGAGATGTCGTCGTACACAAAGTAGTCGCGCATTTTTCTTTTGGGGGACGCTATTCAAAATGCTACACATGGGCCCCTCACTAGGCCAGTGATTATTTGTATGCGAAACACTTTTTTCTAGCTTGGCGAGGAGATTATTATCTTCTGGCGACAAACGATACGTCAGACAGGACCGCACACGTACGTGCTCAATCCATTGAGTAGCAAATTTGTCTTGATTTCGGCAAAGAAAACAGAGCAACGAAAGTAAATTTTGGCTTCCAAAACTGTTCGTTACTTTGTATAGGCGTTGTAAGATCGTCGCCGAAGTTTGATCATAACCATGGCGGTTTGAGCAAAGTCAGTTCCAATGAGGATCAACATGGTATGGATACTTGAGGCACTATCCATGAACGTGGCCAAGTACAGTGCGTTGTAGAAATCCACTGTAAAAATCACAGCTTCAGGTGTCAAGTCTTCCAGACTCTTGGTTATTCGCAATACGACGTTCTTGGCTACCAGTTTAATGGCTGGTTGGAGAAGAACTACCGGTAGAGCAAAATGAGTTGAAGCCGCTTTGTGGAACAGCAGTTGATAGGCTGGATAGACCATGCCCATGGTCTTTTGCGGGAAAAACTAACGAGGGCCCTCCTAGAGAGGGCCCTCACACAAAACGGGCAGAGGTATTACCGGTACTGTTACCGGTACAGCGTTACCATACTGTAACCGGTACAGCGTTGCCAACCAGACGAAAGGTTGTTAACATATTGAAAGGTTGTAAGAGTACCATTACTGTGGATGGGGTTGCCGTACGCGAATGGCTGGCGTGTACAGGAGCTCAGTAGCGAGTACCACAAACCAAGTTACCGTACAATGGAGAAGGAGAAACCCCCGCTCTTTTTACTTCCACCTCCACCTGAAGCCAACTACTCGTCTCATGACGAAGCAGAAGCCGCAGTACATGCATGAACCTTAAGCCACGGCTTTAATGTATCTCGACGCCGTGTACGCTACAACGATGATGGAGACGTTTGGGTGCGAAATTATGAGTGTGACCGAGCCGGTGTGCCCAAGAACACACAGAATCTAACTGAATCCGACCGTCAGCGCCCTTTGCGGGGATCGAAGCGCTCAGAGTGCCCTATGAGAATTGGTATCCGTGCAGCGAGCAAACAGCACCCGACTGGGCCCTGGAAAATCGTTCACACGGCACGAAGCTCACACCACAACCACGTGCCCTCTCGTGACGCCCGGGTTCATGCAGCGCATCGTCGCCGGGCTGCAGCTTCCACAACTGTTGTTGTCGCTGACACTGCTAGTGACCTAGTTAGTCTACAAACTGCTGCTGGTATCTCTGTATCAGACATTCAAGCCACGCTTCTTGCTGTCGACCCCAACTCTCTAGTGATCGCAAAGGATATTGCAAACGCTAAGAATGCGACGCGCCGCCATGAACTGGCTAGCCACACCTCGATCGAGGCTTTGTTTGAGCTGCTCAATAAACACAAGTTCTTTCATCGATGGACAACAAACCCAGAGACTCACCAGCTCAGACACCTCTTTTGGGCTCATCCTGCAACGACCGCATTGTACCGGCAGCATTGTGGAGTATTGATAACCGATTGTACCTACAACACAAACCAGTACAAGTTGCCATTGCTCAATGTGATTACAATTACTGGGGCAAACACAGTACTGCCTGTTGCTCAATGCTGGCTGCCAGGAGAGACCGAGGAGGATTACGTCTGGGCATTCAACATGCTACAACTTTTGCTGGTGGAGAATGAGATTGACCAGCCCCGCGTGATATTAACGGATCGCGATTTAGCTTGTATGAACGCCCTCGATAGGGTGTTCCCTGACGTACCTTCAATGGTGTGTAGGTGGCATATGGTGAAGAACGTGGAAGCTAAAACAAGATTGCATCTCGGGCAGGTTGATGTCGTCAACCCCGCTCCTGGGCAACCGAGGAAAGAAAACTCCTGGGAAACCGATTCATTTATGTCGACATTCTTCGAAGCGATTGATGCAGAGACTGCAGAAGCCTTTGAAGCCAAATGCAGAGAGTTACAGTTGAAGTCGAAGGTAGTTTCGGACTACCTCGACCTACACTGGTGGAAGTATAAGACACGAATCGTAAAATACTGCACCAACAGCTACCGACACTACGGTATCCGAGATACATCCACTGTGGAAGGCACACACGCGACAGTGAAGGCGAGATTAAAGTCAAGCCACGGAGATCTGTACACGGTTTTCAAGTCTCTACTAAGTTGGTGGGTTGCTGCGGCATCACGAACAAGTTGGTTGTATGAGTACAACGCCACTAGTGCGCCATATCTTTTGCAGAAAAACCGATACGCTCGTGTTGTTCGCGTAATTACGGTGTGGGCTCTCACGGCTACACATGAGCTGTGGCGCGACGCTCAGAAGATTGTCAATTCTCGGACGAAGCAGTCTGTTTGCTCTGGTGTTTTTCGTGGTGTACATGGACGACCATGTCTCCACCAATTAATTGCAGTCATTGAGTCGAACGGTGAACGATGTCTTGTTCCGGAAGACTTCGACAAACACTGGTGGGTCCGACACGACAGCATCGAGGTATCGGAATCGCGGATTCAAGAACCTGCACCGATCCGGCAAAACCGACGCGCATCATCTACACAGCGATCACACAAGGCCAACCATGGCACTTTCGGTACAGCGCGGGAACCGACTTACAGCGAGAGGGTAGACCAAAATCATTCAGCATCCCCGCCACAACACGCTTCGACCCCTTCAAGACTTGAAATTGTTGGCACTCACTAGACCTCTGCGTTCTTAGAGCCGTATCTCCCGGCACGATCATGGGGGTATGCAGGGCGCACTCCATACGCAGCCACAGATGAAAACAGAGCTGTCAATACCTACCACTGTTTGATGGATGCACAAGGCTTCAGTTTTTAAGAAGGCTGTCACCTTCGCTAAATTTGTATATCTGTTTTTTTCTTTATTAAAATACACATCGAGATACTGAAATGCGGTGCAATTTTTGCAATGATATCAAACAAGTTGAAGTGTTCAAAACACTTCAACAAAGTCTATAGAAAATTGAATAAAAAATATTATAAAAATAACAATATAAATTGAATTGAGCTATTGGGTTAAGAGTGTTTGCGGCTAATGTGACTCCTCAAACTACTTTTCACTGCAAACGATTTTTGGCACAGATCACACGAGTAGGTTCCCTTTGCGTTCTGTAGTTGCTGCCGAATCACCCGGTGTTGTTGTCCGACTGGGTTAGATAAGCAAAAGTAGCGATGGTTACGCATTCGATTGGAAGATGCATCAGCGTAACCGCAGTATTGACAGGTAAAACTTGAGGTTAAAGCAGACATGACAATATCAGGTACCCACGAAACACCTTCAAATTGCAAGTAGCAGTGGACTCTGTAGTTGTGCTGTGAATAGCTTACTCCAGCGTGAAGAAGATCGCCCCGAAAAACAATGCAGTAACCAAAAGGGATATCCACCAACCGGGATCGCTCCTCGCGTGCCACAGTGTAACATCCGGCGTAAACTCTTAATTGTGTACCACTTTCGAGCGCGACGACGACACTAGCTGGAATGCTGCGGGGAAAACGCATCTTGACAGCTTCCACGTCGCTACTTGTGAAGTCTGCATGCGGTCCTTGCTCAGGCCCACCAGGGCGCGAGTACAAAAATGAATAAACTTGTGCTCGAAAGTTTGCATCAACTAGTGTAACCACCTCCTCAATTTTCCTGTGGAGCTTTTTCATCTGTATGAAAAAGACAATTTTGACGTGATTGGCTTCGGAATGTGTCGTCTTCTTCGCCACCCACCTCACGGAAAACACTAATATAATCAGATCGTCTTGCTTGTCGAAGCACACATGAAATAGTTGCTTGCGTGAGATTGAGGGGCAGCACTAGATAGCCGTCGGGCGGAAACTCAAGTCTTGGGTTGGAAGCCATTTGAGGACTGAAGCTGTTTTCGTTCAGATAGCACCTTGGAAGATCTATTTACGTCACAAGCTGTGAATTGCATCACTAACGATTTTTTTGCATCACTAACGGTCTTTTTGCATCACTAACGGCTGCGTCACTAACGGTCTATTTGCAGCACTAACGGTAATACCTCTGCCCGTTTTGTGTGAGGGCCCTCTCTAGGAGGGCCCTCGTTAGTTTTTCCCATTTATTATGCGAATGTTTCGCCTAAATCCATGGTAATGAAAGCGAAAGAGCCCTATCAGAAAGTCTGACATCATGATCGACCAGACTGCAGCATTTGGTCAGCAATCAGATTAGTAAGCCGAATGTTGAGGGAGATAGCAAAAAGCCGGTTACGCAGTACCCTGAAAATAATCCGGTGAGTGCTGTCCATAC